CACACACACACACACACACACACACACACACACACACACACACACGTACGTTCCTAGGAAGCAGAGTCCTCATTTCTTGCCCACCGTGGTCATTGAGTGCTCTCTGCCGACCCTCCTCTTCCTCCTGCTCAGCTATCCCTGGCCTCGGCCTGAACCCTTTCCCCCTGTGTCTGGAGATGGCTGGTGCCACTAGCAACCCCATGCATCATTCTCCTGCAGCAACTTTGTCCCCCCCCCCACACACCGCTGGACTGAGACAGCAGAGGTGGCCTGAGTCGAGTGTGTAGCTTGTTTTTCCTTGTGCAGAGTGGCTTCTGGGCCCCCGGGGTTCAGCAGGGTCCCCCAGAGTCTCCTGAGCTATTTCTTAGTGAGGAGTCGAGTCCCTGCTGATGAGTAACAAATATTTCATGAACTCTTGCACCAGCCCCCTGCCCCTTCCCTCGTGGCTTGGCTGGGCAGCCCTGCATCCTTCCTTCACTACAGCAGAGAAAGCAGGCGGCTGGTTTGGGTGGACTGACGAGCAGCACTCCACCCTGGCTTTGAGTTTCCTCTTTGATTGCTGACACTACCCAGGCCTCCTGAATATTTATACACCCTCCCCCCCCTCCTACCAATTTAAGGTTATTCTAGTCATGAGTGTCCACGGAAAGTCTTCAGGGGCCTTCCTGACTGCCTGGCCCCCCAAAATAGGCAAGCTCAGCTTTAACTTAGTCCCAAGCACCCCCTCCCAGGAGCTTCCAACAGAGAAAGAAGCAAAGGTCTGAAGAGTGTTGGCCCAGCAGCACGGATGGGATGGTAGTGTTTGCTGACTGAGTCACCGTTTGTGACATGACACTGGGGTGTAATGTAGAAAGAAAAAGGAAATGCCTGTTTCCGCATAAGCCAAGACGTAAAGTCTTCACAGAAGGCCCTGTCATACAAATGAAAAATAAGGCCGTTGGAATTGCAGCTGGCCAGGGCATGGAAGAAAAACCTGAGGGAGGGTGGTCTAGCTCACACCATCTGGATGCAACACCTGGGATCCGAGTGGTCAAGGAGATGGTCTGGGGAATCACCGCCTAAAATCGATCTCCTTTCCTCCCCCAGGCGGATGATGAGAGGAATTACCACATCTTTTACCAGCTCTGCGCGGCTGCCAGCCTTCCTGAATTTAAAGAGCTCGCTCTAAGTAAGTCAACAGGTACACGGGGGTCCTCTGCAAGGGCAGCCGCCGCAGCAGGCAGCCAGGAGCTCTGCCCAGAACCCTGGGTTGTGGGTTCTTGTCTCAGCTCTGTCCCTGCTGTGGTCCTGCCCTTTAGTCCCATCAGAACCTCGCTGCCAGTTAGTAAAGCAAGTTAACTATATCCAGGCTACCTGCAAGCAATGAGCTGCGGGGACAGGGTGAGATGCGGGGGCGGGGCGACCTGTTTTGCAGAGCGGTGAGGTTGTCACCACTTTCAAAAGTGTGATGGTTCAGTGGGTGCCGCACAAGCGTGAGGACCTGTATTTGGATCCCCAGTTTGCCATGTGTGATTCCATGTCAGTAACTCCAGCACTGGGAACGGAGAAAAGAATTCCTGAAGTTCTGTGGCCAACCAGCCTGCCTAGCTGGAATAGATGGACTCAGGCTCAACAAGAGGCCTTCGGTTAAACAGTAGGGGAGAGAAGTGAGAAAGGAAGGCATCTAATATGACCCCTAGCCGCCACGGATGCACACAGACCCACACAAGCATGTACATATACAGCATGCATGCACGGATTTTTTTTTTTTTTAAAGAAAAAAATGAGTTTCTTCTTTCTGCATCATGAGAAATGGGTCCCTTTCAGAAGATCTAGAGATTTATATAATGCTCATCACTTTTCCTTTACCATTGTGTGTTAAGTCATATTTCAGGGTTTGAGACAAAGGATAGGAACAGTGCTGGCCATGGTGGGAAAGGCCACAGAGCACACATAGGCAGGATAAGTCACAGTAAGGACAAGTGAGACTCAGTACTGCAAAACTATGGATCCCTTCTGAACAGGCATGGAAGTTTCTAGCATATCCATGGTTGAGCACTCACTAGAAGGAAGTGGAAACAACCAAAAGTGCCTCTCTTGTCTCTGTAAAGTGAGTGGGCACATCCTTTGTTTTCCCCACAAATGCGTTAGCAAGTCCCCCATGTTTTGAGGCATTGATAGGGGAACAGTGGTAGGCTGGCTTTTATTCCTGGCTCTGTTGCAGGCAGCATCTCTCCTTGGACTGGAGCTCCTGCCTCGTCTATCTGAGACTAGATGAAGTCTTGGTTCTGAGACCTCAGATACTGAGTGATGAGGGGCCAGCCTGGAGCTGAACAGCATCCTGCCCTTGGCCTCTTATCTGTATTTGGGTCTGTGTAGAGAGAGCCTTGGCTAAAAGATGACGTAAAGAGTTGGTTTGTCTAGGCAAAGGCTAGTTGGTCTTTGCATCTCTGAGATAAGCAGATTGCTGAGGCCATGTCCCCAAATCTTAGCTATCCTAAGGATCCAGCACGGGTCTCATCTGTGCCCTTAGTAGCTACAATCTATCAAGTGGTGTCTTAGTCACTGGTCTCTGGCTGTAAGGAGACACAATGACCACAGCCACTCTTACGAAATAAAGCATTTAAGTGGGAGCTTGCTTACAATTTCAGAGGTTTAGTCCATTGTCATCTTGGTGGGGAGCACGGTGGCATGCATAGCACTAAAGAAGTAGCTGAGAGCTACATCCTGATCTGCAGGCAGAGAGAGACAGACTCTGGGCTTGGCATGAGCTTTTGAAACCTTGCAAGCACACCTCTAGTGACACACTTTCTCCAGCAAGGCCACACTTCCTAATCCTTTCAATCCTTTCAAATAATGCTGCTCCCTGGTGACTAAGCATTTGAATATATGCCCCCTTGTGGGCAATTCTTTTTCAAACCAGAAGAGTGGTTCCAGGATTTGCTTCCCTCCTGATTAGTTCCTGTGGTGGTTTTTGTATGTATTACTACATATCTTGATTCATTCATGAAACTTGACTCAAGCCATGTCAAGTCAAGTCATATTGAATGATACAGCTATGGGTTCTACCATAGCTTAGCCTATCAATTACAGTATGGAATAGTAATCACTATGTCATAAGAAGCATAGTCTCAGGCCAAAGCGTCCTCTATGAAAAGTCCTAGTTTACTCGGAACCCTGAAAGGACACATTGGATGGCACCCACTGTGCTGGTCTGTCTTGTGCAGTTGCTGGCAAGTCTGATCCTTCCAGGGTTACCATAGCTTCCCAAGGACAAGGATTGCATGCTCCCAGCTAGTCAGTGCAGGTTCTCAGTGGCCCTTGTTTGAACAACAGCCTGACCTGGGGCCTTTTGGGTTAGATGCCAGCTCTTAGTCGAGAGTGACCAAATAAGCAGCCATGAAAAGGACCACCATCCTCCTCTTGTCTTCCTAGAAGGGGGGTACGGTGGGGTTTTCATAGCTGACCTGCAGAAGCACTTTTTCTCTAAGGTCGGTTTTATGGACAATTAAATACTGACAAGATCCACCTGGCTGGCCACTTCGTCCTGAATGGAACTTTAATAGGGAAGTTGTCTAACTTTTCATCTACATGAGTTGTATTGAGGTTTAAAATGGCTTTTCCTTATCCGCTGTTAGTGAAAGGTACAGACTCCCTGGGCTTCTGCCAGGATCCTTGAAAATTACTCAATACAATCAATTTCTTGCATCTTGCTTGGAGAGAAATGAAGAGCCTCTGATAAGCCTATGGCCTTGTGGGTGGATTGGCTATGAGCCCTGAAACTGGGTTTTTGGTTTTGTCGATAACCCTGATAAATAGCTGAGAAAGTCAAATACACGGACTGGCCAAAAGCTCCAGGAGATTCCATAGACACCATAATCCTTCTCTTGTTCTTAACATAAAACACATTATACAAGAATCTCTGGCGCCCTGGCATGAACTTGTGCATTTGTCTGAAGGTGGAAGGCATGGGTTTGTGTCTTGTCTCTCAGATTCTTCCACTACACCACTGCTGTTCTTTATGCTTAAAATGACCTTGGGAAATTAAGAAGGAGGTCCAGTGGTAATTTTGTTAGGGAATAAGTGATGGTAAAGTTCCCATCTTCCTTAAATCTATTGCTCAGGTGCTTAAGAAAGTTCCCCTTCCTTTTTGCTATCACACGTGTGTTGATACAGTTTTATAGCAGTCACCACAGACTTGCACAGGTCAGAGTACAGCCTGCCCAGGTGAGGTCCAAGCTCTGTGACATTGGCCTTGATGTTTGGTACTCCAATCATAGATTGACGGCCTCTTTGTGCTCTGGTGACTGCCTGGGCTATTGTCTGTCTGATGAACCAGCTAATAGGCGTTTTAGTATTTATTTCTCCTTGTAAATTCTTAGGAAAGAGGGGGAGGGGGCAAGGAGGAGAGAGAGATCACAACTGGATCATGAGAGATGCTGTTGTTCGTGGGAAGGCTAGTGCTGGCTTCATGGACCTGAATGGAAGAGAGCTGAGCTGTTGCGTGATGATAACTGGTGACTGCAGCAGGCAGAAGCAGGGGACAGGGAGGATCTTGTTGATAGCAGTCAGGTCCTTTGGCAGGTGACCTCTGCAGACAATGTCACCCAAGCCTAAGAACCGACCCGGCTGGACCTGAGTTTGGAAATGCAGAGCAGGAGAAGATGGAGGTGATCAGTCAGACACAGAACAGCAAGCAGTAGGGCCCTAGCTGTTGACAGTGAAGGATCTTTGGAAGATGCTGAAAATGTCTTCCCTCCAACGCAGAAGCCAGATGTCTCCTTTAGAGTCTCTAGTGACCCTGCTGTCTTGGCTGACATTCAGTAATGAGTAAAAAAAAAAAAAAAAAAAAAAAAAAAAATCAAAGTCATGGGACACTAAAGATCAATCATCTCTTCAATGGAATGTTCCGGTAGTAGGCTCTCCATCCTGGTCATCCCCCGGTGAGCCTGTGCGCTCCCCCTCTGCCCCTTAGCATGCTGTAGTCATGCTCAGTTTACATGCTGGAAAGTGGGAGCAAATGGAGTAAGTCTTCTTAAGGTGGCACTGGGAAAGTTGCCAGTAAGCTATTTTGAAAAGTGAGTACAAGAGGAGGAATTGCTTTATTAACCTTTTAGATCTATTCTTGCTCAGCACCCTGAGCCTGTAGAGCAATTAGCTATGAAAGTGCTAAGTATGTTTTGAGCGTAAGTCATACAAATTTGCTTCTGTTGAAGCTCTGAGAAGGTCAAAGGCTGAAGTCCTTTCTCTTTCAGTTCAAGAATCTTGGCCTCCGTTCATCTAAGTAGGTTAAGTTCATCCTCCAGCAAACCTCTCTCAGCTCACAGTGGATGCTCTTTGCATTCCTTTCTACTGATTCATATTCAAGTCTAGGCCTAGCCTATTGCAATGGTGGTTGTATAGTCGACATGAATGTGTAGTCCATGCTGGGCCTGGCAGTGTTTAGTACTCGGTTTTTCAGAGTTGTTGGCAGGCTTCATTGTGACCTGGAGCATTGCTATGACATAGGAGCAGCGCCAGGACCGAGGTAAAGAAGAGAAAATGGAGGTGGTTAGGAACGGTCAACCGCATGACAAAGGGACGGCAGAGGAGCAACTGTGAGGAGATGGGCATGTGCGGGACAGGAAGAGAAGGAAGGAAAAGCCATGAACCTGGAGGGGTGGAAGGTGGCCATGCCACAAAAGGTTTAGGACATTGACCCTTGGCTGGAGGGCGGTGAGACTGTTGAAGGACTTTTATGTAGGAAAGTGATGTGACTGAAGTCACCAGCAAGGCAGGGGGTGGGGGCAGTAGCGAGTCTTTCTCTATCCCACCTGCCATCGCCCAAATCACAACACAGAGACTTACTATTTATGAAAGTTCAGCCGGTAGCTTAGACTTGTTTCTAATTATCTCTTATAACTTAAATTAACCCATTTCTAGTCATCTATCTGCTGCCATATGGCTCATGGCTTGTTACTTCATCTCCTACACATCATGTTTCCTCCGCATCTTGCTGAAGACTCCCTTCTTCTTCCCAGCATTCTCTCTGCCCTGGAAATCCTGCCTCAATTTTGGCTGTTCAGCTTTTGATTAAACCAGTCTGAGTGACACATCTTCACAGTGTACAAAAAGATTATTTCACAATGTGAGGGGCCGAGGTTGAGAGAGTATAAGCCAAAATACAAAGATGGGTTTAGAATCTTTCACAACATTCCCCCCGACAACACTTGGCGAAGGTCAGACTCATAGAATTAGCAGGTGGCAGGCAGGCAGAATGGAAAAAGACCATAGATGTTCTTGGGAGAAAAGTTGAAAGACATGGTGTTGAAGGACTTGGAGTTGCTGTGGAGTGTGTTTAGCTGACGTGTATTCAGTGTACATTACCAGTTCCAGGGAAAAGTATTTGGTGGTGGTGGTGGTGGTGTTTCAGGGAAAGAGGAAAAGCAGCCCATGTCCGGTCTTGGCTTCCCATCAAAACCAAGTGTCATACACACCAAGCATGAAGTACCAGGCAGAGCTGTCCTCACACTATGTCAAAGACTTAAGTACTTCCCAAAGATAACTTTTTTAAACTTGTGTGTATATGTGTAGGTATGTGTACATGAGTGCCAGTGCCCACAGAGGCCAGAGGCTCCAGACCCCCACAAGTTGGAGTCACAGGAGGTTTTGAGCCTGCTGGCATAGAGAGGTGCTTAGTGTCTAACTTGTATCCTCTCTAAGAGCAGTGCATGCCCTTAACCGTGGAACCATCTCTTCAGCCCCTCCTCACCCCAGTAATTTTTACTGGACTAAGTCATTGTTCTTCATTAAACCTCTGAGGCCAGACCCTTCAGAGGAGCAGATGTTACCATCCTCTGAGTAATGCATTCCAAGTGCTTGTTGGGTATTTGCCCTTTGCGAAGCTTGTCTCGCACTTGTAAAACACTACCGACTCTCCTGTCTTTCCAGCTGCCAAGGCTGTCAGAGGCACAGCTGAGGGAGGGGACAGAACACTAAGGATCATAGTCCTTCCTTGTCCTTACAGCCCCGACTTTGTAAAACAGACAAAGCCAAGTCCCTGACACCCTCCACTGCCCCTCACTTGTCAAATGTGGCTGCTGGATGAATATCATCCAAGGCCAGAAGTGTGAGATTCCAGGATGTAACTCTAAGTATATATTTTCCTTGTATGTTAGGTCCTTTAAAAAGTCCAATCTGAATTAAGTGATGTTAAACTGAACTTCCCATAACTGTTTACCTTACCAGCTTATTCACCATGCCAGTTTTATATGCACACAGCCACATACTTCGAGTACAATACAAGTTACTTTATTGCTCAGTTTTCTCTCTCTTTCCATTGCCGATAGGGTATTCTAAAGGATGATGCATCCATCTAATACCAAAAACTGGTGTGAGCTAGCATGTTCAGAGTAGACATCCTCATAGGTGGTGATCTGGGGGTGATGAGGAATGAAGATCTCTCTAGTGTCTCCCTTCTTCTGCCTCCCACAGCATGTGCAGAGGACTTCTTCTACACGTCCCATGGAGGAAACACAGCCATCGAGGGTGTCGATGATGCAGAGGACTTTGAGAAGACCCGACAAGCCCTCACACTCCTTGGTAAGCAACTGCTGAGTGAGAGCGGCCGGCACAGGGTCTGGAGGAAGTGAGGGGAGGTCTCACTGGCTGACCTGCTAAGTCTTCTGAGCCTTGCTGAATGTTTTCCTGCACTCTTACCTCTCTCAGTCCACAGGCTCCAACATTTACAATTTGGAAGTTTTCTTAGATATAAGCTTTTGGGCCAGGTACTGCGAAATATCCCGCCACTTACTTGGGTGTTGAAACAGATGAAGAAAAACCCAGTGAGGCCATGTCATTGTGTGCTGTGGTCTGAGTTCAGAGGCAATGTGCGCTCCCCCCACACACACCAGAAAGGCCCTCCCACTGAGCCAGACCACCTGCATACTACCAAAGCATCTGAGAAGCAGCAGCCCCCAGTGTCTGGGAGCCCTCGTGGTACTCCTGGTAGCCCTGGTGTGCTAGCTGTATGTGTTGCAGTCTTTGAAGTAGGAAGTTCTCTGTGACTTTCAGTAGCAGATGAGCCTGGGAGCGCTGGGGAGAATTGTCCCTATCTGAGCCTGTTTTAGGGGAGAAGCACTCCCGGGTTCATGAGATGGAAGGTGTAATTCTTCCTAACTGGGAAGTTAAAATAGTCAATCCTGGGGCCTGTAGCCAGGCAAAGGGGAGCTCAATGTAGCCTGAAACTCAGAAAGTGACTCGGATGGCCACGGTGTCTTCCCCACCTCTTCTCTGACAGAGATGGAGCTTTTGGCTTCTCTGTCAGGTTGCTCAGAGCAGCATCTGTTCAGTTCTGTGGTATAAGCCAAGGTTTGTCAGGGTTCAGATTAAATGTGAACAAATTGGACACGCCCTAGTCTCTATGGGAAGGAAATGGAAGGCGTGTGCTGTGGTTCCAGTGTGGCCACTTCTCTGGATAGCTGAGACATGGGTAGAGTTCGCCCTGTGTACCTGTGAATGATCAGGAGACAGAAAGCACTCTAGTTGTTCCAGCATCTTTATAATTTGAGCAACAGTGAGTGAGTGACTGTGGAAAGGCCGAAGTGGACACTGAAGACAGAAGTCAGGGAGGTGAAGTAAGTGCTGCTGTGGCTAGTATAAGGGTCCGGACATCCCGGGGACTGTTGAGTAGAGGAACCAGAGTTGTGGATAAACTTCAGACCCAGCTAGGAAGAGGGCAGAGTGTGCCCAAGGCTAAGGACGAGCGCCCTGAACAAGTAGGCTCGGCTGGACCTGAGTGTGGTGGATCCCTAGGGCCAATGTGAGCTCAGCAGGGAGATTGTTGGGCTCTTGGGTAAATGGTGAAAACCAGGAGGGACCAGACCCAAGATGGGGACAACTTTCTGCTGCCTTTGCCCTTGGTTCAGAACCTTGATGCTCTGCCAGTTGGCACGGAGCAGTTCCCAGAGGGGAGGACATAGAGAATATCTCGATACCGGCACTTCTGGCTTCCCCCAGCATCACACACCGTACTGATCTCCACAGTGAGGGACTCAGGATATGTGATGCTGAGCAGATGTGTTCTGCCCAGTCTGCCAACAGGAGAAGCACTCACCACGGGGCTGTTGCCCATTCTGGGCTACTGTGAGCAATGAGCAAGAGCTGGTAAGAGGGGGGTGGATACCTCCCAGGCTCTGATTTAAATACCTCTCATAGCAGATCCCAATTGTGAAATTATTTCAGTAATTCTTTCTTCTCTACTCTTTAATAAATGTTCTCCTTTTTAATTACAGAGGTTGGAAATACATTGTCTTAAGATATAAAATAGTAAAGAGTTTAGGCTTTGTGAGCTGTGTGGGTTCTGTTGCCTCTGCTCTTCCCTGTGGCAGGAGCCTGCAAGCAGCCTCAAATAAAGCAAGTGGGCAGGACTGTTTTATGAGGTTACACAAACAGCCTGTGGGCTGGAGAGTATGGCTGTCAACCCTTGTTTTACTCATTAGGTTTAATTGATGGTTTTTTTACGTTTTTGAGAATTTCTTAAATCAGTACTGTATTACATCATTTCTACCCTTTCTCTCCCCTCCCCCACTCATCCTATGTCTCCCACACACTAGTCTCAAATTTATGATGTATGCATTCGGATCATGCAATGTTGCTTATATGTACATGTGCTAAGACTGAATACTTGGGATCCGGTAACCTATCAGGGAGCTCATCTTTGTAGAAAACTGATATTCCCTCCCTTAGTAGCCATTGGTTGCCTGTAACCCTCCCTTAGCAGCCATTGGTTGCCTATAACCCTCCCTTAGCAGGCATTGGTTGCCTATAACCCTTCATTAGCAGCCATTGGTTTCCTGTAACCTTCCCTTAGCAGCCATTGGTTGCCTATAACCCTCCCTTAGCAGCCATTGGTTGCCTATGACCCTCCCTTAGCAACCATTGGTTGCCTATGACCCTCCCTTAGCAGCCATTGGTTGCCTGTAACCCTCCCTTAGCAGCCATTGGTTGCCTGTAACCCTCCCTTAGCAGCCATTGGTTGCCTGTAACCCTCCCTCAGCAGCCATTGGTTGCCTGTAACCCTCCCTCAGCAGCCATTGGTTGCCTGAAACCCTCCCTTAGCAGCCATTGGTTGCCTGTAACCCTTCATTTAAGCATGTGACCTTGTGAAATTTCCCCCATCCTTGTTGGCATGTCATCTCTGTGGTCACTGTGCAGGTCTACTTTAGGAAATCACATTGTTGAGATTCACGGGTACAGCCTTCCTGTCATGTCTTAAAAGACACTCTAAGAGCAGGCACCCTGGTTCTGTGGCTGTTGCAATCTTTCCATTTCATTTTCATGATTTCCCCTCCGCCTTAGGTAGAGGGGTTGCCCTGCAGTGTTGTGTCACTTATCATTTATAGGCATTAAGCATGGAATGTTTAGTTTTTGCTTGTTCAGAGGATCCCCTGATAAGGCTTCCTTGTTGGTGATGATTTTCCTTAGCTGGTGCTTGGGCTGTCCACTTTGTGGGTTATCTGGGGAAAATGTTAACCCTAGTAAGACCTGTCTTTGCCCCTCAGTTATACAGGTGCTATGGCTGTTGTAGTTTGAGTGAAGCATGGCCTTAAGGAGAAGCAGATGTAGCTAAGGGGCAATGTGGCCAACAGCTGCCATTTCTCCAACAGAAGGCAACTTGACTAACATCCATCATACCGTTCTGTCAACTTTTTTAATAAGCTTGAAACACTCTGAAATTTGAAAAGAACTAATGCCTCCAAGCTAAATCTAAATCTTAAGAGCTATGCCTTTGGTAATTGATGCAGGCAAATAACAAATCTGATGATCAAGTTTGTTGCCATAGTGTTTCCAGGCTGGGAGTGTTTCTGTCGCCGTTGGGGTATGCATCACCAGACAAACAGCCACCTTTAGCTGGCACTGCCCATAGCTGGAATGGTGATCCCAGGGGTGTGGTGGAGTGGTCTCCTTTTCTTCCCCTGTTGGCCCTGTGGTTGTGCCACAGATGTTTGCAGGATATTAAGTTGGGAGAGAAATGACTGCAGATAAATGGCCATCTTTATTAAACTCATAAAAGCATCCATAAAGTGTCTGGTTGAAATGAAGTCCAAAAATGAGTCAATCCTTCTGCTGCCTCTCTGTGCTCCTGGATAAGTTAAATGATGATGTGCCCCATCTGGTGTGATCCAGAACAAGCAGAGTGAGGCGATTTCCCTTTCAATAGGAGCCCCTTTGCCCTGTGAGTGGTAATTACTTGGCCTGGCTGGTTTTAAGAGTCATTAACCCAGGAAGGAAAATCAAACAATTTTTAAAGTCCTTAAAAAGGGTAAAAAGTCCTTTCTACCATAGGACAGATATTGGATGTTACTCACGTGTCTTTTTCCCCTTCAGGAGTGCGGGAGTCCCATCAAATAAGCATCTTTAAGATAATTGCTTCCATCTTGCACCTTGGGAGTGTGGAGATTCAGTCCGAGCGTGATGGAGATTCCTGCAGCATACCAGTAAGTGGCACCAGAGATAGAATGTGCACGCTGAACTCGGATCCTCCAGCCTGATACCATGGGCATTCGCCTCTGTGCTTAGAGGGCACCCCTTGGTTATTTATTCTGAGCAATAATGACTGCTGTTTTTCTCACTGATAATTTTTTTTTAAAAGAACCAATCTATTTCGAATCAGCCATCAAGTTTCTATCACTGGGACAGGGGATTTAGTGGCTAGTCAATAAATTTGTTTGATGGGTTCATTTCCCAAGTACTCTGAGGTACATAGACTTCTACACCATGTCATCAATCTATTGAGTACCTTGTGGGCCCTGACTGAAGTCTTTGCAGCAAGGGAATAGGATATTGGACTCCATAGTTGGTGGCTGCTTCTAAAAGAGCTGGCATTCTAACTGAGAGCCAGGATGGGATGGCTCGTGCTGACCTTTTTCCAGCACAGTGAGGCATCTGAGTCGAAGGCCTACCAGCTAAGATGGCTCCTTAGAGGTTTTTGATAGAAATCCCTTCCCCTGAGCTTAGTGCCGCCACTGACGTCTGGTGGACAGGAGTGTCTGTGTGGAATGGAGGATGCTGGAGGGAGTTCATGTGATGGGGTAGACAGCAGTTGCTGTGGCCTGCCTGTACCTTAATGCTGTTGGCCAGGGCTAAAACTGGCACTCTGACCTTGAACAGGTGTATCTGCCATGTTTCCACATCTGTGCCTATTTGTGACTAGCCTAGAAGGAAGTATAAAGTGTGATTCTTACTTCTCAGGATGTGGAATTTAAATAATAGGATTCTAGGAAAAGTCCAAAGATGTCACTACAAAATCCAGATGTGGGCTACAAAATCCAGATGTGGGCTACAAAATCCAGATGTGGATATGTGCCCATGCCACGGTCTAGAGTTAACAGAAGTTCAGAATGTTCCTGCCTTTAGGGAGGAAAAGACCTGAACTTTCTCTGGTTTTAAGAGAGTTCCTCCCCAACCTCCACTCCAGCCCCACACATGATTCTTAAGTGAGAAATGTTGTTGGGCATGAGATGGTTCCTGGGCTGTCACCCCCTCCAGCATGGACTCTGTAGCGTCATAAAAGCTTTGAGGCTCCCACCTCTGAGAAAGATAGGGTTTTGGAGCTTGCAGGATCCCAGAGCAGTTTCTGACTTCTGACCTTCACAAGCTGCAGTGCATGTGTGCGCTGTGGGGTGGGTGGAACCTCCAGTGCAATAGAGATGTCAGTGATGATGCTTTCCTAGCAAGTGGGGAATTTCAAGGATGTCTATCTGGTGAATACAGGCCCAGCCCAACCCTAGTAGTGAGTTTCTGAGGCTGGTGAAGAATCGACCCTCTGGGGTCTTTGCCCTAGGGAGAAAAGTGTACAGAGTTTATGCCTCCCAAAGGCATACCCCTTCCTAGCAAATGCCCTGTGTATCTTTAGGGCAGCTGAATTCTGTAAGGGACAGGGAAGATTGGGAAGACATGCATTGACAAATTCCTGGTTTAGGCTGGTGATACGCAATTTTGGTGTGTGTGTGTGTGTGTGTGTGTGTGTGTGTGTGTGTGTGTGTGTGTGTGTGTATTGCAAGGTTAGGTTTCTCAGCTTGAGCTCTCCACCTGAGTGACACACTCCTTGCCATGGATTCTCACAGCATGCCAAGCCTCCTCGCTTCCCCTCACCACAATAATTTTGCATTCCTTATGTGATTATTTTCTGTATCTCTCCCTCCTCCTTCCCCTCCTGCCTCTTCCAAACTGATGAAGGTGAAAGGTCTACTTGTTCTCAGTCACCTTTGCAGTGTTCAGGACCCAGCAGGCACTCCAGAATGGATAGCTGGGTGATTCATTGAGGTTGTAGAGGCCACAATGGTGATAAAAATGAAAGCCACTGTGAATTGAGACAGAACTCAGTGGGTGCCAGTGGGAAGTGAGGCCCTGAGCACTTGCACTGGGAAGTCCAGCCTTGGACTTGTAGGTACTGTGTCCCTGATATTATGACTAGTCTTTCACTCCTGGGCATTCAGATGAGGGGGGAGTCATTGACCAGTGCCTGTTCCTCACCACCACCATGCAGTCGTAGGACCATGTCTGTTGTGCCGTTGTTCTGCGTGGCACATGGTAGCACCGTGTGTTTGTGAGGTGTGTGCAAAGATGGACTATCAGGACACACTCAGAAGAGTGGGCAGAGGACACGGGTGACAAGGTGAACTGCGTTGGTGAACTCAGAAGCGCAGGTTGAAGGTCTAGGCTGTGAGTGATGGCAGCGTCAGGGTTGCCAGGGTTGCCAGGGTTCCTTCCGCCTGCCATCTCTCAGGGGTGTAACTTAGAGATGCCCCCTCACCGGCCTATGCCCACTCCCTCCTCTACACACTGGGAGTGGAGGGAGAACACAGGCCTGTGAGGAGGCCTTTACTCGGGGCTGACGGTGATCTCCATGAGTTCTAGATAGTACCATTCTGGTTGTTTGGGCTAAAATGGACCTTTGCCAGAGTATGTTTCCTATACAGAGGAACGAAACCTAAATAAATTCCAGAGAGAGGAACCTCTTTCATAAAGGGTGGAATGACTAATGCTCCTGCCAGGACAAGGTCCCAGGCAAGGTTCCTTCCCAGGACCACTTCTTCTCACTTACTCATAAATTTTTGAACAAGTGACCTGGGCTGCCCATACACACTTGCCAGTTGCCCATGGTTGCTGATTTGAGAAGTGTGCTGCTGAGAACTATTTTCACGTGGATCCTTGGTATGCTCCTCTGGTCCATAGGTAGGTTTGCTGTCTACTTATAGGCAGTACGCCTTCTGCGCTGTAGTTTTTATTTTTAATTAAGGCATGAGAATGTGTTCCATGATTGCCAGTGTTACCATAGAGATGCCACAGTGTCCAATTACTTGGACACCAGAGGCAATTTTTCCCCTTGAATTTGGCAGTACAGGCTCATAAAACTAACCTGCTGTCTATAACGCTGACTGTTTTAATGGATTTATCATCATCTAATTATGTTTAAATGTAATTGCATGATGTTAAATCGGTTTCTGTTAGCACCTTTAATCAACAGTCAGAAGTGGTGGTGGGGAGGGACAGAGAAGTCCCCACTGTGGTGTCTGGAAACCTGTCCCCCGATGGCTATTAAAGAGTTAGCTCCAAACTGTGGTTCCATCTCTGCCGCACTCTAGCATGGGGGGAGGGGGGAGGGAGGAGGCGGGAAGGGAAGAGGGTGCCTGGGAGCTGGTCCATGTTGTTGGCTGTAGGCAAATCACTCATTCAAATGTCAGGGGATCCATCTGTAGTGTGTGCCTAGCAATTAAGACTTCCTTAAAAATAGGTCAGATGAACAAATTGGACACTTGCCACCTGTGAACTTGTTGTCTGCCAAGCAGGCTCCAAATTCTAGGCTGAATGGCAACATTATGTTGGAGCAGGCAGGGGCGGAGGGGCCGCAGAGCCAAGGCTGTGCCCAGAAGTAGCCATGACGCCGTTAACTGTTTAGTGAGTGTGAAGGGCAGGTCCCTACACACCAAGCCCAGCCTACTCAATCAAGCTGGCTGTCTGGCTGGGTGGTCAGGGAGCCTCACTCAGCTCATGTTCCTCATTTGAGTAATTCGGGATAAACCAGAATGGCAGCTCCCAAGGGGAGCCTGACCCCAGAGAGATGAGGATCTTTGTTTAGATGAGAGAGAATGTTCTTTAACATGACTTGTCTTTTGGTACGTAGGAGCTCGGCTGTGTTTAAGCCTGCTGTGACACTGGGTTTGTGCTCTCTCCAGGGTGTGTTCCCACCCACGCTTGGGGAGAACGCTGGTCTTGAGTTTGGGGGAAGAGCTTTCTTTTCTAACATCTTATTTTATATTGATGTTTGCTCTGGCTAGAAGGCTAGGTACTGATAGGGGTAAATGGCCTGAGGATATAATGTTGAGGGGAAATGATAGTGTTGTCTGTGTTAATTTTTTTTTAATTTTTATTAAATAGCTTTCATTTAAATCCTACAGTTGGCCTCATCAGGAATTGAGACCCATAAGCAATCTAGAGCCATTAGGAGGTAACATCATGTTATGAATTTAAAAAGGCCTCTTCCAGCCTTAGATTTAATAAGCTGGCTTAGACACTTTGCCAAGTACAAGATGAACTTCTGAATAAGCACCAAAGAGGATAGGTTTTCTGAGGGGTTCCCTGAATGGTCAGCAGGGATTTTTTTCCAAAAGGCTTGGATGGCTTAATGATGTGAGGCACAACCCTGTGTTGGACTTTGATTTTCTGGTAGTTTAAAAGCGAGGCAGTGTGTCTGGTAAACACAGGTCAGGACTCAAAGGCAGCCCTCTGTGGCAGCTGGGAAGCCAGGAGGAACGCTGTGTAAATGGTGCCTGTTTGCATGCCATCACTGCCCAGAAACGCTGCCCTCCAGGTTGGGGCTTGTTTCCTACCAGCACATCTGAACACACCCACTGACGTCACATATGATTTAGAGGACTGGAGTGTAAAACACCAGGATGGTTCCCATGTCCTGCCTGCCTGTAGGACAGTCACCAGTCTGGTCCCTCTTACAGAAGGGAACCGGAAGCCTGAGGACAGGAAGTGGCGGAATGCCAGACAGACCACCGAGAGCTTTGTGTGAAGGGCTTTGAGTGGGAGGCTGAGAACTGTTTTCCGGGGTGCTGTGAGTGCTGCGTGTGCCCTCTGCAGATGCATGCTGCATGCTCAGCTTGCATCTGCTCCTTTCTGGGCTTGCCGTCCTGACCCTGGACTGCTTCTGCATTCCTAGGCTGTCAGCTCCCAGGTTGCTCCCTTCTCTCGCGCTGGCCCCTCCCACCGGTTACCTGGCAGTACCCTGGCAGTTCAGGAAGGGCACGAGAGCAGTGCATGGGGCTTTACTCTGTCGACTCTTTCCAATTTGGCCATTGGCAGGTGTGATGGTCAGTTTAAGCAACACTACTCAGGCTCTATACTTACCTGATGGGGGGTGTGGAGAAATAAATCGCTAGGGTTGAGAAGGGGTTCCATGGGTGCTGGGAGGCACTTGGCCTCTGGACCGGAGGGGGGAAAAATGTGCAGAGGAGCCTGTCTCCCATTCTCCCTCCTGATCCTGTCTTCCTTTCCTCAGCCCCAGGACGAACACTTGAGCAACTTCTGCCGCCTGCTGGGAGTGGAGCACAGTCAGATGGAGCACTGGCTGTGCCATCGCAAGCTGGTCACCACCTCGGAGACCTACGTCAAGACCATGTCCCTGCAGCAGGTGGTCAATGCCCGCGATGCCCTGGCCAAGCACATCTACGCCCAGCTGTTCTCCTGGATTGTGGAGCACATCAACAAGGCCCTGCACTCCTCCCTGAAGCAGCACACCTTCATCGGGGTCCTGGACATCTACGGGTAGGCCTGCACTCCAGGTTTCCCTCTGCCTGCCGGGCAGCAGTGTCTTCCTGCTGCCAGGGAGGAGCCAGCAGAGGCCTCGGTGGCTTCCCAGTGCTTCCAGCCAGAGTTAAAGAGGTGCAGCAGCGTTTGAGGCTGTTGTAACTGGAGTCACTGTAGACCCCAAACCAGAGAGGCCAAGTGTTTCACAGGTGACAGTTCCCAAGGGAGAATGTGCCCTGTCAGAACACTGATAGTCCTGTCCCCATTGCAAACTCTATAACAGCATTTTTCCTAAGATAGAGTCTTGCTATGTGGCCTAGACTGGCTGCAAACTTGGAATCCTTCTGCCTCAGCTTCCCAGGTGTGGGGATTACAACTGTACACTGCTAGCATCAGATCCATTTTCACTACTAGGAAACAGACCCTAATTGGGAAATGACTTGTCTATCCTCATTCTAGAAGCCTCTCTCAGTTTTTGTATCTGTTCAGTCCTGTTTCAATCTACCACTTGATCTCACTGTGGCAGTGATTGTTTTAATATTAATTTTGCCCGATTCTGCATAAAGAAGTGCTATATATTGGCATGTGTGAGGATTATCTTCCTTTTGGAGTCTAGGGGGAACTGATGGACTTTTATGTATGACTAATCTTTGCAGGCTGAGGCCACATAGCTTGGAGGGAAGTATACATGACGAAACATCAAGAGACTGGCTTTCTCTAGCCAGGCTGCCACCGAGAGCTGAAAGACTGCAGATCACAACCCTTCTCTGGCTGTTTCTATGGCTTCAAGTGAGGTTGTGAGTCAGTCTTCCTGAGGTTATTTCAGACCCGTCTAGACTCATAAGAAGTTATGTGGACAAGGGCTGTATCCCACTTGCTCTTTTCTCACAACTGCCTTGACCTCTTTAAGCTTAGAATAGATTCAGTTCTCCTAGAAGTAATGCTTCTGTCTTAAAATAGCAACCCAGACCCATAGACTGCCGCATTGCAAGAACAGGGACACTCTGGTGCAGCAGAGCTTGCTGGGTTGGAACTGCTGGAACCCACCTGAGGACAGCATAAAGGAGAATCCCCTTCCAAGTGGCCACTTCCTGTGCAGACAGGTTCTCCCACTTCTGGTCAATGCCTTGGCTTGTCGGTGGCTTTCACATTAGACCATATTTCACAGGGCATAGGAAAAGAGTTACATTTTATTCTGGGATCAGAAAGACCTCAGAAGCCTGCTGAAGGGTTAAGTCTTGTGCACACGGTAAATAATGCAAGAAGTCTTAGAGACTGTAGAAGGTTCCATCCGAGGGTTTAGATACGTTGTGGTGGATGTGTCAGATTAACACTAGAGAAGCCATACATGTTTGTACAGCCAAGGCAAGTTTCCTGCAGGAGGTGAGAAGTGAACTGGATGGAGGGAGGGTAGAGCGTGGGAAGTAGGAGAGTCACTACCATTGGGAACAGAAGCACAATCAATGTGGTTAAAAATGCCCACAGTGTCGGAGCTGGAGAGATGATTCAGTAACTAAGAGCACATGCTGCTCTTGCAGAGGACCTGAGTTCAAGTCCCAGAACCTATATGGTAGTTTACACATCTATAACTCCAATTTGGGGGGGGCAATGCCTTAACTGGACTCAATGCCGCCTTCTGACTTCTGGGGATACCAGGCATGCAATCAGACAAAACACTCATATACGTAAATATAAATAAATATAAAACATTCAAATGTGGTGGATGCAGAACCAACAGAAGTGGGAGGTGCATCCTCCCAATGGCTTCTCGGGGGACAGCAGGGCACCAACTTCTGCTCAGTCTTCCTGTTGCACTGCGAGAGCACCACATTCTTATAGAACTTACTACCTGGCTGTCAGTAACTGATTCTTATTTTCCCTCTACCTTGAGTGTTTCTGGGTCATCAGATTTCAGGTGAGACCTTCCCACTATGGGCGGTGTCACTCCCTGGGTTAGAATCCTGGACTATATTAAAAAGGAGAAAGTGAGTTGAGCACAAGCATTTATTGCTCTGTGCTTCTTGATTGTAAGGCACAATGTGACCACCTGCCCCATGCTCCAGATGCTGTGACTTCCTTCAAACCATTGACTCTCACCTCCAACTATGAGCCAAAAAAAAAAAACCCCTTTCTTCCTAAGTTGCTTTTGTTTGGGGTATTTTATTACAGTAACAGAAAAACCACTACAACAGGTAGGTTAAGGGAATTGGATCAGATGTTATAACGCAGTGTCTCCAGGTCTTCCTTCCAAACATGGCCCTAAAGATCAGTGTGGAATTAGAACTGACCGGAGTTCTGGACTATGGATGAGCTGCTTCATGTTTATCTATAAATGTGTTTCCACAGATCAGAGCCCACCCTGAAATAAGTACTTACTCAGGATACAGGCAAACACAGCAGGAGCTAGCACCACACTGCACATCTGTGCTCCACACGCACGGACTAGCAGGTAGCTTGCGGAGTAGAAGAGGTTGTGGCTGCCTCTAGAAGACCGTGGTAGCCTGCTACCCACTGGTCTCTGCAGGCCTTCCGAGCAGACCAGTTCTAGACTTCCAGTGCCTGGGTATAAGAATGGCTTCTCTTTCTTCAGCTCCCTTGTCTGTTCTCCAAAATAGTGCAAGATAAGCAATACCCAGTGCAATTATGCCAAGCCAAGCTGTTCTAACTAAGGACCTATGAAGCTCCCTGTGGGCTGTTTCCTGCCAGGCAGGGCTGGACATTGATAGAGAACAGCCTGGCAGCTTTTGGCTGGAGTTTCCTTGCATGTTGATTAGCCAGCATTGGCCTCTATTGGCTTCATTAGTTACAATGGTAATCCTCTATTCTCCTTGAGGCATCAAGAAATAAGTGGCTCACTTTGGGGAAAATACACATTATTATTTTTGTCCTTGACTTCAGCTTTCAAATGCCAGGATTTGGTTCCAGCCAGTCCATTTGGGCAGAGGACAAGGAAGGAGGCAGTAGATAAACTTTGTGTTCCTCTGAGGAGTACTGTAAGAGAAGCTGGAGAAGGAGTAGGGAGATTGAACTCTGGGAAGAAGGACATGGGCTTTGTTATCTATTTTGTTTTTTTGTTTTTCTCTGTTGCTATGATAAAATACTCTAACAAAACCAACGAGAGAGAGAGAGAAAGAGAGAGAGAGGGGGAGGGAGGGAGAGAGAGAGGGAGAGAGAGAGAAGAAAGAAGAGAGAGAGAGAGAGAGAGAGAGAGAGAGAGAGAGAGAGAGAGAGAGAGTGAGTGTTTGTCTTAGCTCACAGTTCAAAGTCGAGCCCATCATGGTAGAAGCCAAGGTAGCAAGTTGAAGCATCTCATCACGTGTGTCCACCATCCAGAAACAAGTATGGGTGTCAGTGTTCACTGTGCTTCACAGCCCGGGATCTTTTAATGTTTGCTTCTGGGTCTCGGGATTGTAGTGCATTAACCCCTTAGTGGAGGTGCGTTTGCACGCACCCCATTTCTACTCTGTAGACCCACCGTCCTGGGTTTGTAAGTCAGTTTGGTAGATTTACCGTTGCCTTCATTTGCTGGTGGCAGAAAGTCGTCTTTGTGTTGTTGGTTTGGTTTGGTTTTGGTTTCACTCTCCAGAGCAGGTGAATGTCTGGTCCCACTACAGTTACTCAGAGGGGACTGCCCAGCCTCTCCTGACCTGTGTAAAGGGGTGCTGTAGAGAATGAAGGGGGGCAAACTCTGTAATTGCTTTTACCCATTGGCTTATAGACAGCATCCAGTTCTTGATGGCCCAGAAGGTCACAGGACATTGTCATCTTTAGAGCAGGTGTGGCTAGCTATCTTCAGTGTTAGACCTCACAGGCCATGTGATGCTATTATGTTGATCTTGAATGATCCTGGCATCTGAAGAGAGCTTTACATCTTGGGGTACTCCACAGCCATGTGCAATCTTCTAGACTCATGCAAGGGTATCTAGCCTTTTGACACTGCAGAACAATGCTATCTACAACGTTCATGCTGTGGAACTGCGCAGTCCAGTTATGACAGAAAACCATGGAAAGATGGCTCAGTTGATAAAGTACACAATATGCAAGCAAGAGAACCTAACTTTGGATCCTTGGATTCATGTTTTTAAAAAAAAGCTAGGCCATGCTGGGGAGCCAGAGATGGGAGGATCCTTCGGGCTTGCTGGCCAAACAGGCTAGCAGAATCAGTGAGCTCCAGGGTCAGTGAGAGAGACTGTCTCAAAAATAAGGTGAAAAAGTGACTGAGGAAGACCAGTGACCCTGGCCTGTGGCCTCCCCATGTACATGTATGTGCTCACTCCCATCCATGTGCACCCACACCTGCACACACATGAACACATCTACAAAAGTCACAGAACACAGTGTTTAAGAAAGTTTATGATTTTGTGTTAGGGGCTACAGTCACATGTGAGCCATGGGTTGGGCATATCTCCTCGTCCTTTGGAATATGCCCCCCATTAATTGAATGCTCAGATGAAGCCCCATTTTTCCTCTATCTATATTCAGCCCCCCAATACTGTAACCTCACCTCTAAAAGCCTAGAACAGGTTAAGTTAATACTCCCCTTGTCTTAGGGTTCCTATTGCTGTGAAGAGATGCCATGACCACAGCAACTCTTATAAAGAAAAACATTTAATTGGAGTGGCTTGCTTACAGTTCAGAGGTCCAGTCCATTATCATCATGGTAGGACATGGCAGTGTGCAGGCAGACATGGTGCTGGAGAGGTAGCTGAGAGTCCTACATCTTGCAGACAACAGGAAGTGGTCTGAGACAATGGGCTATATCTTGAGCACATATGAGACCTCAAAGCTCCCCTCCACAGTGACACACTTCCTCCAACAAGGCCACACCTACTCCAACAAAGGCCACACCTACTCCAACAAAACCACACTTCCCAGTAGTACCACTCACTTTGGGGGCCATTTTCCTTCAAACCGCCACACCCCTGAAAGTTTCTCATCTACTCCAATAGCTGGCAGACAGCTTTCCAGTAGTCAGCTGGGGAAGAGGGATCATGGCTTGCTCTTCACTGCAGTTCTTAAAAGTGTGGCTGATGGATTTGGAGAGGTATAGTACCTGAGGGTGGCCATTTTCTAATTCTCATGGAAATAAGGAGTGAGAAGGCCCTGGGAATTAAGACCCTGGCAGACTGCCTTCCTTCCGTCAGTGCCTTGGAGTGGGTTCTGGAAGAAGGACAAGCTTTGTGGCCAGACAGACACAAGCACAGGAGCAGTTGGAAGCCCTGCCATTTGAAAGTCCAACCAGCAGACTGAGAGTATTAGTAGACAGATGAGTGTGGCAGTTCCTCTAGCAGACTCAAGGGTGCCCTTGTAAAGAGTTCATGGCTCCAGGGTGGGAAAGCTCCTAGAAAAGATATTTGTCTCTGTTCCCTGATATCCATGCATGATGGCTCCATTTTTGAAAATTCATCTAGAACAAATCTCCCCAAGGTAGGCTTCCTGTGTGCTGCTCAGCCCTCCCCTGTGTGAGGTCCATATCCATCCTTTACATTGGCCCAGGTCCTGGGGCCTCCCACCCACACACCAGAGGAGCTGCTCTTGACCAGCATTCAAGAGGCGTGCACCGCTCTGCTGGGCCTCCACTCTTGAGGCAGGAGGCTTACGGAGGTAAATCATTAACTCGGAGCCAAGGCACGTCCTTGTCACTGCAGTTTCATCCTGCGGTGGCTTTTGCTGTGTTTTGAGAGGCATCTGTGGCTCTCACTCCTCCCTGAAATTGGGTCCAATGAGAAGGAAACTGTACATTGCTTCAGTCACATCTTTAGCACAGGAGGAAACAGCAGGGTAGTCATTGCACCCCCCAGAAGGACAGGTGCCATGTCTCAGCCTCATTCTGTGTGTTCTCCTCCCTCTCTCCTGAGAATTCTGGTCTAACTCTTCTCAGGACAGATCCATTTCCCCCCTGTATATGAATTTCCTTGTGGCGTTTTTAATGCTATGGACTAAGTGTGTTTATTTTTAAAGTCATTTCTGTTGATGGACAGAATTACCACAAATATAATTCTGTTGGAAAGAGATATCGTCCTGTCTGCCTGACCGTGTGCTTCTGAGGTTGAGTGTCTTAGTCATTTCCCAAGTCAGCCGAGCCTCTCATTCATCTCCAGCATTACAATAATTATGCTAGATGGCAGAGGAATTGTTACCAGATAATATCTTAGAAACAGGGAAATTATGAGCTAATTTCAGCCATCTCACATTAATGAGAATGTTCTTTGTGGAGTGCCACCAGTGTAAACCTTTAAAAAGTGACAAGTGGAACATACTTAAATCCTCTGTCTGCAGAGCTCAGGGCTGGCTCTGCCAGCACACCCGGCGGCCATTATCTGGCCATTTGCTGGGCTGACTCTTTAATCTTCCTTGTAGGCTATGTTAATTAAATTTCCTCTAGGTTTGGAGAGTCATCAGCTACCACTGTGGGTGGAAGGGGGAATGATTGAGGTTCTAAGCTCTATAACTTGGTCTACGGAAGCGCTAGCTGGCCCGGGAAGGGCCATTTGACAGGGTAATAACTGTTGCCTGGGCTGCATTGTGGTGGGGCCGTGACTCATCATAGCGTTTGAGTCTTTGATCTTGTTTTATTAACCTGGAGTCATTTTTCCCATGTGGGCATGGCCAAAGGCTGTACTTTAATGTGGCTGTCTCCAAGCAGTTGATTCCTTTGATCTGAAAGTGATTTCCCACTTTTCCATGTCTTAGACCTTGGTGGGGAGGTGGGTGCGGGGAAAGCCTGAGGCTTTCTGCACACTGCTCTGGGCCTGTTAGGTGGCTGGTGAGTCTATTTTTGATAGTCCCTCTACACAGAGACCTATCTCCCCACTACTGCATCTCCAGCTCCTCACCAGGGACAGGAATGCCACCTCTTCCTGAAAGCAGTGTTCAGGGAAGGGCTCGCAATGACACCTTATGTAAGACGGAAAATTCAATTGTCCATATTTACGAGTGGGAAGGGGTGGGGCTTGCAGGTGATGGGGAAAGCCAGATGAGGCCTGTAACTCCAGCCTCCCCCCTGCTGGACAGTACCACTTCCTTCCTCAGGCTCCGGGCCTCAGATACTCCTCCTTCCAAAAACATTCTCTTCACAGCCCTTCCAAGTGATCTCTTCTTCCCTTTTAAATTGAACTTTGGCTCCTCTCTGAATTATGATTTTGACCAGAAGATTCTCTGGGTTCAAACACTCTGGTTTTCTGATGCTCTGACCTTGGGTAGTTCATTTCCTCATACATGAGCTTCCTCGGCTGTAGAGTAGAATTAATAAGAGAGAGAGAGAGAGACCTCACTCCTGGTTGTTGTAAACATTAAAGGAAAACCCACAGAGCCCTTGACCTCAGTGTCCAGTAGGTGCTGGTGCTGCCTAGCTTTATGTCACCTTGGCCCAGGCTAGAGTCCCCTGAGAGGAGGGAACCTCAATTAAGAAAATGCCTCTGTAAGATCCTGCTGTAGGCAAGCCTGTAGGGTATTTTCCTAACTAGTGATTGATGGGGGAGGGTCTGGCCCATCATGGGTGGGGCCATCCCTGGGTATCTGGTCTTGGGTCCCATAAGAAAGCAGGCTGAACAAGCCAGGGGAAGCAAGCCAGTAAGCATCTCTCCTCCATGGCCTCTGCATCAGCTCCTGCCTCCAGGTTCCTGCCTGGTTTGAACTCCTGTCCTGGCCACCAACCTGAGCTCTAGGTTCAGAGAGAGAATCCTTAAGGGAATAAGGTAGAGAGAGGTAGAGCAGAATGCCTCCTCTGACCTCTTCATGTATGCAGAGATGCATGTACCCACATAAACACCTGCACATGTGTGCACATGACATACCACACACACACACAAACATACACACACACACAGAAAGCGGTTTTTGACATGGTAATTCTCCTAGGATAATATCATTAGGAAAGAATCACAGACTTGAAGAGGTATATAAAATTGTCACAACACTGATAGTAGCATATGATAGAAAAAGAACCAGATGTCCTTCACGGGGGATTAGTGAGTTGATACATCTGTGTGCCAGCTCCTAGGTGTTCTTGTAAATTGGGGAATGTGTCCTCGGTTTGAGAAGCAGTAACAGACCTGTGCTCCCAATCCAGGCTCCTCTGCAATTCCCAGGTCTTGGCCCACAGATCCATACAGACCTAAAATCGGTACCTTGGGAGAATAGTGTGGTGGTGTGTTTGGAGTGGAAAGTTAAAGGATAAAAACAGGAGTAAAAGATGTGTCCGATTTTCTTTTATAAAAATCACCAAGAAAAGACCTGCCACTAGGCAAGAGAATCATGGTTGACCTTCTCACTGTCTGTCTGTCCTCCCTGTGATTCCCTGCTGTCAGTCCTTTATCGGTTATAAAGGAAGCTGTTAATGCCTCTGTTTCTAACCTCCCAAGGCTCTGCAGCACTGGCATCCACACCAGAAGTCTGTGTGCACAGGGAAGAGTGTGGCAGTTCAGGAAGGCAGCCTTGTTAGGTCCCACTGACTGCTTCCACGGGTGGTGTATCTTACCTGTGGCTTCACCTCTTTCCTCCCGCAGGTTTGAGACCTTCGAGATTAACAGCTTCGAGCAGTTTTGTATCAACTACGCCAATGAAAAGCTCCAGCAACAGTTCAATTCGGTAGGTTCGATGGATGGCCTAGGTCACCAGGACAGGGGACTCGCTGTCCCCCTGCTGTGACACCCGGGCCACTTCTCTTCTGAGATTGGTGTGTTTCTGCTCTGCCAAGTCCTCCTCTTTCTTCTTGGTGATGCTCCTAGCTTTTGGAATTGGCTCTTCATTGCTGGGGTAGGAAATGTGGCTGAGGCATCTGGGTGGAGAGGGTAAATGCTCTCCCTTGATTGACCCACTCCTCTCTGAGCCCAAGCTTTCAGGGCAGTTAAGGAACTGAAGGTCAGACAAAAGACTCCTTGAATTGGCTAGAGTCCAGCAACACCTGCAGGACTATAATATCCTAAGAGAAGGGTTGCAGAGGGATGGGAAATCACCAAGCCGAGCTCTGCCATTTCTACTCCCGACTGTGAGTTAGTGTCCAGACCTTTCTGGCAGTTATCTACCATCCTTCAAGACGGAGAACTTTACAAGAGCTTGGGGGGATAAGTGCCAAGTCTGTCTGCAGTGCCCTCACCTTGGCCTTGTGCTTCTGGTCTTAGCATGTGTTCAAGCTGGAGCAAGAAGAATACATGAAGGAGCAGATCCCGTGGACCTTGATTGACTTTTATGATAACCAGCCTTGCATAGACCTCATAGAAGCAAAGCTGGGCATCCTGGACCTGTTGGATGAAGAGTGTAAGGTAATGCCTACTGCTCCTGTTGTCATTGAGTGGGTCAGGTCCGGGTGCTGGGCAGAGGGCTCCTGTGTGATGCAAGGGAACCAATGAAATCTCATAGCTGGCCCCGAATCTGATTGTCTGAGCGGTGTCCCTCATACTTGCTAAAAGATAACCTGTTGAGTAACCGGCCGATATTATCCTAGCAAATGTACGTCTTTCTTGGCAGAAAGCAGGTGCTGTGATGGTGGTATGGATTTGGTCTCTCACAGGTCCTAGTTGCCCAGAGAAGCAGCCAGCGTCTAGATAGGTGTTCCCAGGGTGGTATGTATAGTGTCAGATGGCTGTGAGTGATGGAAATCCGTGAGACAGTGAGAGTCACCCGATGTGAATTTTGTGGATTTCTCCTGGTATAAAAGAAAACTGTGCCCATAGCAGGGGAGCATCCGGCAGGAGGAATGGAAGGTGGAGAGACCCAACTTTAATGCGTTCTCCAGCTTCCCTGCTTTCCTGCCCTATGAGTCGACGCAGACTGAATTTGGTGTCGACAGGCTCTCCCAGTGCAGTGCCTGACTGGGAAGGGAGTGGAGTGTAGACCGATTCCCACATCGGAAGGTATGGGAGCCCTATGGCTTAGTCTAGAAAGAGAAGAACCAATTGCTTTGACTTTTCTCCCATGATTTTCTGAAAAGGCATTGAGTGTGGCTGGGTGTTTAGGGAAGGAAAGGAGTTTCCTTTCTAGAATGGCTTTCTGAAGCGCTGCCTTGGTGCACAACCACAGTCCCAGCACTCAGGATGTGGAGGTAAGAGGCTCACTCCAGTGTAAGGCTAGCCTAGACTAAAAAGTGAGTTCAAAGCTAGCCTGTGCTATCTATTGAGACGCTGTCTCAACAAACAAACAAAAAACCCTCTCCCCATCCCTCCAAAAAAGTAAAAAACATACCACATTCTATAGATGGCACATTTATATGAATTTTGAGGGGTGGCAGTGAGGGATTGTGAGGCCCAGTCTCATTCTGTAGCCCAGCATGGCCTAGAACTCTCTGTGTAGCTCGGACTGCCTCAGACCATAACGATCTTTGTACCTCATGTCCCCAGTGCTGATATCACAAGCTTGTACCACACACCTGGCTCTCCTGATGTTTTTCAGCATCTCCATGCAGACCTGGGCTTTAGCTTCAAAGTCGGTGCCTGGGAAAGGCGATCCCATGTGTCTGAGGCTTGTCTAGGCTTGCCCACCCTGCCGAGTTGCAGTCAGGTGAAACAGCTGTCCCTGGATTGAGTGCCTCTGAGTGAAGGCACAGGCCTGACCCTTCTGTTTGCCTCCTGCTGGGAGCTCCTTCCTACATTTCCTAAGTCACAGCTCAACTGGGACCGTGCTTCCCTCCCCAAGGCCATCAATTCCTACCAGTAACCATCTCCCCCAGCTGCGCACTCCCAAGCCAAAGGCAGCTCCAGGTTCTGAGTCCAGCCCAGGTCTCTGGAGAGCTAGGCCTGGGTAGCAGCCCTGCCCTGGCTCTAGTCAGACTGTAACTCTTCGCTCCCCTCTGGGGGGGGAAGGGGAAAGCCATGCCCTCTTGAGGAACCACAGGGCATGTCCTGTTCTACACAGGTCTGTCTGGCCCTGCGTGAAGAATTAATGCATCACAAAGCAGGAACTCCCAGGGAGCATGGCCTTTCACATCCCATTTACTCACAGCCACTCACAAAAGTACCTCAGTGCTTGGGGATAATCTGTTCTGAGACTTGAACAGCTGTCTAAAGGGCTTGCAGTGAGATGCACTTCCCTTCACCAGCACACCAGGGCTGCTTGCGGATTTCTTTGGCTGTGTTGTCTGAAGACTGTGGAGGTTGGCATTGGAAACAGGATGTCCAGCATTGGTCCCAAGAGTGTAGGACCCAAGCCCCCGAGGGAACCCCAGAGCAGTGCTGAGCGGGGAACCGGTGGCTTCAGGGACAGTGTGCGAGCACACAACAGGTAACAGTCATGGAGAACACCGGCAGAGGCAAACCATGTCCGGCAGTTGGCAAAGTAACCCCCAGAACTCCCGCCCCAGTCCAGAAGGCTCCCAGGTCCTCTTGCTCTGTCTTCAGGTGGGGTACCCATGTCCTGGGGTACTCCTCTTGGAATCTACTTATGAGAAGCTGTATAAAAAGAAAACCAGGTTCTTTCAAGTTGCATTGGTTGTTAAAGCCACCAAGTTGCGGCTCATCTGAGCTGTCAACACAGCAGCAGGCCTCCAGGTCAAGATGTTCAAGATGGCTGACAGGGTGTAGATCGACATGGTTTTCCTCGCAAGACCCCTTCAAATGACAGAAACAATTTAAA